TGATAACCCCTGCGTTACATCGTTGCACAGGGTGTCCCGAAAGTCGCTCGCATTCGGCAAGCGAGAGATTCCCGCGGCGATTCGAAGCAACTTTCTCCTCGGCGGAAATGCGATCCGCGGCTTCGTTCGCGAGTTATCGACGAAAAACGGTGGCCAATGAGAGGCGAGCTCGGCCGGCGCGAGGCGGAGTTTCGCTCCCAGTTACGCTGACTGGCTCGGCCGGCGCGAGACGGTCGAACTAGCTCGCCTCGCGCCGGCCGAGCTCGCCTCTGATTGGTCACCGTTTTTCGCGAATAACTCGCGAACGAAGCCGCGGATCGCATTTCCGCCGAGGAAAAAGTTGCTTCGAATCGCCTCGGGGATCTCTCGCTTCCAGAATGCGAGCGATTTTCGGGACACCCTGTACACGTAACAGACAGAATTACACGGATAAGATTCTTTCGTCAACGCGCGACGAGAGTTTCGAGCATTCGCAGTATTGATGTTCGCAGAGCGACCTATTTATTGGCCGCGCGGAAATGGTACGTGTTATTGAATCGTAATTGCGAAGACAATGCGCAGCGGTTTCAGGCAATTACTTTGTTCACGGAATGAGCGATTACGAGAAACTACGTTAGGTAAGACTGCGGGATTCGGCAAAGTCACATTGAAATTATAAATGATTGAACGGGACCTGCGCAAGAGAATGGATTCTCTGCGGACGAGACCGCTGTAGCTCTGGCTCTACTACGTGCCTGATAAACTAGGACATGCGCCGCCGTTGGGGTCCATGACATCTGTTGCCCTCGATCTTACGATATCTCGCTACCATTCGCCTGTACGAGTCTATCGCTTCCCTTGCTTTTGAAAATTTCCTGTGCGCTATTTTCCAACCCCTGCGATACTCGTCGTATCTCTTCCATGCGATAAAAACACTGTGGCCGATGTACAGTAATGTCTCTCTAATTGACGCTCAGATTGTCCACAAAGATCGACAATTTGAGAAGCGGAGATACGATTGTTCGAGCCTTGCGGTTTATTTGTTATAGTTACGAATTGTTAACAATTATAAAAAGGAGTCGCGAGGCTCGAATAATCGTGTCTCCTCTTCCCAAATTGTACATTTTTGGGCGCAATCCGAGCGTCAGTTAGGGAGACATTACTGTATACATCAGGATGCAGTAATGTCTCTCTAATTGACGCTCAGTTTGACCACAAAGATCGACAATTTTGGAAAAGAAGATACGATTGTTCGAGCCTTGTGACTCGTTTTTTATGGTTATCGATTGTCAATAACTATAAAAACGAGTTGCAAGGCTCGAACAATCGTATCTCCTCTTCTCAAATTGTTCATTTCTGTGCACAATTCCAGCGTCAGTAAGGGAGACATTACTGTACATCTATGAGACACCCCTGAATTTCTAGTGTTTTTTAGCCCTTAAACAACGAACGACTAACGAAGGGCGAATGATTACGAATCATTCTTATTCACAATCGTGAGAAATGTTTTTCAAACGTTCTTCACATTTAGAAAATTTGCTTTGCTAAATGTTTTTAATACGCTTGCTTTTCTACGCAAACGAATTCGGATCTCTTCACTGTTTATCAGTGATTTCGGTCTTTTATTTAACACTTTTATGTCAATAATAGCGAAATTCTCGGAACGTTTCCACTGTTTTTCGTTCGATCGGCTAATTTCTTTCGTAAATCCATAAAATCCACGGTCTAATGATAAATGAACAATGAGAGTCGCGAGTAAATGTAAGACGACGGGAAATAAAGTTTTCTATACAGAATCGGCCGAGTCGATAAAAGGAATCCATCGAAACATGGCGAACTCGACGAGGAAATGCTCTGTGAACCGTTACATCTTGGGTTCGCCTGTGTGTTGGAAAAAAATCCTCGCTCGAGGATTTCATCGAGTTCTTGTCCGGCGGTTTTCCAATAAGCGAAACTTTCAACGTATTCGTTTGGCCCTTATTGCGCAATCAATTCGCCCGATGGGTACAATGTCGACTTACTTCCCGCGGAGTTTGCCCTGTTTCTTTTTCACTTATCTATCAGCACGCTGCTATCGACTTGTTACAGTTCGAATGGAAAACGATGGGCCGACGAGTACTGGAAGAGAGCGCACGATTCTCTTCGGACTCCTTCTTAAAGTAGCTGCGAAATATAATACATGCAGTGGGTAAAAAAATGTTATCGCGTTTCGAAAAGTGAGCGAGAATTTTTTTTTTTAAACTGCACTAAATAACTTGAATTCTTTTTAGATGATAGAGCGATCAGTGTACCAGGCAATTACTCTAAAATGCTTTCCTTTAATTTTGCTGTTTTTATCCTTTTTATACTTTGGTGTCTTTAATATAAATATAAATTAAATAGAAACTAGATATTGTATATGTATAAAAATGTATATAATAATAATATATTATTATATATATTATTATAATATTAATTATATAATTATATAATTATATTATTATATATTATTATATATATATTATTATGTTATATAATAATATTAAATTTATATAATATTAGTTTATGTCGAATTTCGCATATTTTCGAAGTTGCAGAAGTTGCGTGGACCACACTGTCCACATTGCACAATTTAACCATGCCGGTTCAGTACTTCGTTCTTCATCGAATCGTTAATAGAAATTTGGAATTCGTCCGTCGAAAATATGATTTTTCGAAAGATCTTTACGACGAAACGCTCGTAAAAACTCGGTTTGCTCTTTAGTGTTCAACGGAAAGCTAGGTCACAGGCTTTGTGCCGGATAAGTGGAGTTTCCGTGGGCGAAGAAAAGAACCACTCTTGTTATCGTTCACCACGATGATCCAGCGTTTCGCATTTTGCAACGCGAAAATCTTCAATCGTCTATGGTCAAGGTCGCTCCCCCCTCTTCGACAGGCGGTGTTATGTAAAATTGTCAAGCATCTTGTGGTAGAATTAAGCGGAGGGCGAATCGAGTAAATCGTTAAAATAAGGACGATTGAATGTACGATAATTGTGGTCAAGATTTCAGCGAACGGTTCAAGAGTTACCGTAATTTATCCCTGAAAAGTTCAGAGGTCGGAGAATTGAAGCCGGCAGATCCGAGAGTACTAAGTCGCGATTCCTCGAGCATCGCGACTCGTTTTCATGGAAACTCTTAGCAGAATAAAAACGATGACTTAACTTTTTTATTTCGAATTTTTTGCCGCGATTCGAAGGCAATTCGGAGGCCACATAACTCGACTCGAAGGCAATTCGAAGGCAATTCGGAGGCCACTTGACACGATTCGAAGGCAATTCAGAGGCCACGTGACACGATTCGAAGGCAATTCGGAGACCCAAAGCGACAATTTTGTGTTATCTTCCGAGAGCTCCGTCGACCTTTAGCATTTCCGTAGTAATAAATTACATAGACGTAGGACTAGCACAGAGAAATTCACAGCAATCCGAAATTTGGTTATTTCGGGAGAAATTACTGTGTATCTCTAACAATATATATATATGAATTGTGACTGTATCGTAGTAACATTTGTCTCTAATTGTGACGTTTGTCCGCAGGTATGTCGGGCAAGGATGTTAGCGGATGGTCTAAAATACCCTGCCTGAAGAGACGTTCGTCGAGCAAGGGTGGAAGTGCAACCGGAGGCACACACGTCGGCCCACCCCAATGTCCACACTCTGTATTAAGTAGTACCCGAAGTTCAGTAAGCAGTTCGCCACTGAGTCCGTGTCCAACGCCCATGCCGTTTTTGGTTACCTCGGGTTCGGTCAGGTGAGGTTGATGTAGACACATTAATATTACTACTCGGGAACTCCGGTTGAACCTGCGTCAAACGTATAGTCGCTGTTCGAATTTCATTAATACTACGATACAACAACGTTCAAAGGAGTCAACGAATAAAAACATTTGTGCAAAAATTGCATACGTTTGGAACGGCAAAAAAGAAGTTAAGAAACTATATTTTTTCTATAAAACTATATTTTCTATAGAAACTATATTTTCTATTCTATGCGCGACTTAACCCTCCGCCGGCGGACGTCAGGTCTCTCGTGACCCACTTCTTTTTTTTTATAGAAAGCAATTCATTGTTCTATCAATTATATAAAATATAATTATTATATATATATAATAATTATTATATTATATATAATATTATATTATTATATATAATATTTCTCTATTCGATTTTCATTGTACTCGATATTTCTCGATCTTCGAAGTTACTTTTCCATTTCGTGAAGAGAAGTAACGAAACTGCTAAATAAGATAAATAATATTCTCATGTAAAGTTTGTTTTCTAGCGTGTGTAAGAGAGCAAATTTTCTCTGGGTCAGAAGTGACACGACGTCCGGCTTGCACGAGATTGTATCAACGTCCGCCATACCGAGGGATAATATCAAATCGCCTTGTTGTTTTATTTTTATTTATACGCGATAACCGATAGAAAAGTACACGTAAATGAAATGAAATGAAATGAAATCGAATACAAATCAAATATACACGTAATTTTATTTTTGGAATTTCTTTTCAGTTTATTGTACGATTTGTTCGCTGTGCTCTTTCACATGTTTCTCTAGTCTCAATAAAGGTCTTTGTTTTTATGTTTCTTTCTCGTATTATCATCACGGATCTGTTTTCGTTGTAAAACGTTCCGAGTCCCAGCACAATTATATTAAGCGGCGTGCGCTGTATTGAATATGAAATATTCCTCACGCGGGTGGCATTGAAAATTATATTTTGAAAATACGAATAAAGCGAAGCCGGCTATTAAAATGCTTTTTTATCTGCTCGCGTTTAACCAGAACACTCGGAGGTGCGGCATGTATTTTTAATAGAGGCTGCCGGTATAGACGACCCTAAAAATCATTATTGCTAAAAATACACGTCGCCTCTCATTTATAATGAATGCCGTGCTATATTCAGCAATGGGACAGACATAGCTTGATAAGAGAGACCATTCGATATCGCCTGCTTAAGTCTGCTAATCGTAGGTATACTCCGATAATTCGTTAGTCCCTGGCCGATTCTATTCTTGGTCTTACGTAAATCCTCATCATCGATCGTTGATTCCTCTGTTACATTTTCGATCGACCTTAAGCAAGATTTTTCAAGGTTCAAATAATTAATCCGAATCAATTATTCGTAGTTATTCGTAACACACGCTACGAGTTACAGGAAATTCTGCTCGATTGATCCTCGTTTTGGAAACGAAAATGGACAGTTTGGGAAAAGGAGGCCGGAATAATCGTGTCTTCTGTTCCAAAATTGTCCTATTTCGTACAGAATCCGAGCATCGATCAGGGAGAATTTACTGTATTCGGAAAATCGCGGTAGCGTGGCTTAACACCGAACTAATCGGAGCACCTTAAGCAAGATTTTTCAAGGTTCAAATAATTAATCCCAATTAATTATTCGTAGTTATTCGTAACACGCTACGAGTTACAGGAAATTCTGCTCGATTGATCCTCGGCTTGGAAACGAAAATGGACAGTTTGGGAGAAGATGACCGGAATAATCGTGTCTTCAGTTCCCAAATCGTCCTATTTCGTGCCGAATCCGAGCGTGGAACAGGGAGAATTTACTGTATTCGGAAAATCGCGGTAGCGCAGCTTAACGCCGAACTAATCGGAGCAAGCTCCGCGATACAATATGCGACGCAAACTAGGGTAGGGGAGTAATATTTATAGAATACGACATATAGGTGGACCCGAAACTCCGTAGTAGGGTTAAAAACGAAAGAAGCCCCGCGTGCTTAGCTGCTGCTGTCCTTGGCGACCGATGTAAACAATTCTTGTTTTCCACGAAAATCCGCAGCTCGGTCGGCGTTACGATACCACCCGCTCGCAAGTCTAAAAAAAGGATCTATTGGAAATATATTGGATTATTCTCTGTACAGCCTTAATCTTCTAGGACGGATTATCGTTTCCTGGTCCGCTTAGGGAAGCCTCGAAAGTCCACGATTTACAACGAACCAGGAACCGAAGGAAGCGCTATATTTGCAGCTCGTATCTTCGTAGAAAACACTCTTCTTTCTTTTTCGCGCGAAAACAATTCTTTCGCGGCGATGTCGTTTTATATCTCCGTTTCGCACGATTTTATGATTCGTTTATGTTTTTCGTATTTTGTTTGTTGAAACTTGCCCGACCGAAATTCACTTCGCGGGGATGAACAGAGTCGACGCTGCAAGACACCTGCGAATATCATGTTTTATCCGAACTTGTTGACGCATCCGAAGAAATCACGCGCGCGCGCGCGTGCTACAGGTTTGAAAGAAAATAACTGGAAGCAATTTGAGAAATTATGTTTTCACAACTTTCGTTTAACCTGCCGGCCGGCGAAAGCGCGTCCGGCTGCAATCCTGCGGCCGCGACGATTGAAAAACGACTCGTTCGCAATTAGACGTATTGTTTACAAGACGGCACCGACGGGATCGTCGGATCGACGAGGAACGCTTAGATCGCACAAGTTCGCCGGAACTGCCTGCACGCGGAAACTCCGGCAAATTCGGCGAG